AAGAATGCTAAAATATATACAAAAAGCCAAGCTATCAACATCTTAGTGAAAAATTATGTGCACATGAACATAGTTATGAACATATGATTAATTTAAAATTTGGACCGAAACACGAATTAGGTTAAATAAAAATGAAACAATTGATAAAGAGTTACAATAAATGATAAAAAAAAAAGATACCGAACATTGGACATAAGTTTGGTAAGAATAATTGATGTTGTAAAATGTTTAGCTGAAAATAAATTGGCTTTTTGTGGAACAAATGAAAAAATATATGAGAATTATAATGGTAACTTTTTACATATAGTTCAAATGATTACTGAATTTGATCTAGTAATGAAACAATATTTTCGACTTATTCAAGATAAAAAAAAAGGCATAATCATTATCTTAGTCATAAAATTCAAAATGAATTAATTGAAATGTTAGCATCCGAAGTAAAAAGTGCAATTATTAAAAAATAAAAAAATGCAAAATATTCTCTATAATCCTTGATTGCACTCCGAATGCAAGTCCCAAAGAACAAATGACTTTGATTATAAGACATGTCGATGTTACAAGTGATCCAATAAAAATAAAAGAGTTTTTTTATAGAGTTCTTTGTTGCAAAAGATACATATGACTTATGACTTTTTAGTGTTTTATAAGACGCTTTGAAATCTCTTGACTTGAATTTTAATGGTATCAGATGACAAGGGTATGATAATAGCGTAAATATGAACGGTAAACATCAAGATGTAAAAAAAGATTGTTTGATATAAATTCAAAAGCTTTTTATATGTCTTGTGGATGTCATAGTCTTAATTAGTTTTGTGTGATATGTAACATTCTTGTTATAAAGCAAAAACTTTTTTTGGTACTTGTCAAACGATATGCAATATTTTTTCTAGTTCCATAAAAAGATAAGAGTGTTTTCCTTGAGTATGAAGATGAATTAACACTTAAATCATTGTCGGCAACACGTTGGAAAAGTCATATTAAAAGTGTTAAAGCAATAAAAACTCAATTTTTTTCAAATTAAAAGCTTTAATAAAATTAGCTAGAGTGAGTGATGATGGAAAAGTTTGTAGAGATGCCGAATCATTAATAAATGGTAAATTTCTAGTTTTGAATTTATTTTACGTTTAGTAATATGACATGATATTTTATTTAGAATTAATTTGGTAAGTAAAAAGTTACAACCCAAATATATGATTCTTGATGTTGCGGTAAAAAATTTAGAAGGATTAGTTAATTATTTTGGAAATTATTTGGAAAATAGGCTTGACTATGCTATTAATGAAGCTAAAGAAATACCACAAAGTATTGAAGTTGATCCTGAATTTCCTATTAAACCTAATTCTTGTAGAAAAAAAAACAATTGGTTGAAGTTCCAAATACTAAAAAAGAAAAAACAATATTCTAAAGAAAATTTAAAACAAATTATTTTATTATTCTAGTGGATATGACTATTTCACAATTGAAAAGTATATTTGAGTAAATGCAACATGTTCAATCCATTTTTGGATTTTTGTTTGATGGTTCAAAGTTAAAATCCATACTTGATGATAAATTAAAAAAAAAATATTGTATGAAACTTGAAACCATGCTCAACCCTGACATTTTGGAGACCTTCTGCGAAAATCAAAGTAAGACCTATAAAGTTTTTCTTGTAAGAATATTCTTAAGTAGTTTTATCACCGTTGGACTCAAAACTTAAAGTTGCTAACAAAGATCTAGTAAATTCACTACCACAACATTATGTCTTCAGTCATTAGTAATAAATAAAAACCATTAAAAAAGATAAAAAAAATTAACGCATTACTATTACACTTTCATAATCAATATTCTCAAAACTAATTGTAAATCGAAATTAAAGCCAAAGCATTTAACTTCTCTTGATACATGGACGAGCGCAAATAAGATTTTAAAAATGTTAGTTCTGAAAAGCTTCTTTTCGCTTATGCAACTGTAATGGGACAGTCAACAATATTCTTTATGATATACAAGAAACTAGATAAATATAATTTTTAAGAAATTTAGTATTTCTTTAGTTGTATCATGTTCAAATGGTAAATCTTTCTGTAACAATTTCAGTTCGTTGAATAAATTATTAGCATCGATGTCTGAGACACGACCATTTTGCAACCTATTCTTAAGATTTTTGCGACTGACTTTAATTCACTAGTGACTTCAACTTTCTAGTTGTGAATAAGAAACCAAAAATGTATTCATATTGTTTTTTATCGTTCAAACATTCGTTCTAATTAATCAACATATTGATCAACTATGTACACAAAATATTAAATCATGAATAACTCTTGAGGTGAAAGTTCATGCATCGGTTCTTGATGACACAATGCCACTATCATCAATATGTCTTTTGTTTTTTTTAATTCTTCTATTATTGTTTTTCTCAATAAACACGGGATCAATTACCAAACAAGAAGCTATAGGTCTACCACAATCCAAAGCCTTCTCAAACCCATTTTCTCGACGGTCTTTAAAAAACTCAATAAGTGCTCGGGGACTACTCATTCCTAATCAATACGCATAGTCTCATATCAATGTTATTTACCAAGGTTTTTTTACTTTATCAAATATATGATACCATATAACCATAACAATTATAACGTCAAATCTTCCAAGTATATACTCTGCTAGACAAGTAGTTTCATTTTTTTTTATCTTTATATATGTATCTTCATCAACAAGTTTATGCATATCTTCTATTATTTCAGGAGATTGAGTCACTATTACTTTCACACTTTCAATCATGTTTTCCCAACTTGTGCTTGAGAAAGATTTTAAAGTGAGACTATGTTTATGTAATTAACATTTATTATGAGTTATGACAAATGACAAATAAGTGTCCAAAACTCTTACATACCGGGTAGTAGAGTACTAGAAGCAAAACAAAAGTCAAAAGAAAAAACAATTTATATTAGAAACAAATTTATATTTTTCTTTAAATATAAATATTTTCCTTAATTGGTTGATAAATTTTAAAATTTATGACTAAATTTTAATTTTTTGATTTTTTGTGATTTTTCTCATGATTAAAATAAGTTCAAGATTGCAACAAGATGTTACATTGTGTATATAAGTAATCGACATTACTATTTTCTTTAATGATAACAGATAAAAAAATTATTTTACAATACTAACACTATAACTATATATTTGTCCCAAATATTGGAGGCCCCTAAAATTTGAGGCCTCATGCGACCGCACTGCTCGTACACCCCAGGGTCAGCAGTGCTTAAGACTAGTTTGACAGTTGGTGAGGAACTTGATATTGATGAAAAATATTTATTTATAAGTTACAAGTTTTGAAGGTAATGGTGTCGGATGAAGCATACAAAGGCAAACTTCTTTGGACAATTATTCAAATTATAGAGTTCGCAAAGAAAATTGACATGTTTCCCAATATGTTGATAACACATAATATTTTGTTGACATTACCGGTTACAGTAGCTGCCTCGGATTTTTTTTTTTTTTTTCAAATTTGAAGTTATTGAAATCATAAATTCGAAGTACCATGAGTCAAAAAAGATTAAAAAGATTAGCAATTTTGAGTATCGAAAGTCACTTTCTACAAAGTCTTGATTATCATAAAATTAGGGATGTTTTTGCTTCAAAAAATGCACGTAGACATTATATTAAATGATTTTTTCTATGTTTTTGTTTGTATAACCATGATTTAGTTTTATTATCAAATTTATTTCACTTTTGATTTAACCTTTATTATAAATAAGAGCATTTTTTTAGTAAGCAAACTGAAAGGTAAGGTGTTGAAAATGTGTATTTCTTAAAGAGTTGAGGGTTCAAGTTCGGTGGTGGACAAAAGAATTAATTCAGAAATATATAACAAATACTTATTTCGTTGGAGCTATATTTAAAATTCCAAAATCCAAAAAGAACCGGCTATGACCGATGTGCATCCGATTACACCAGATCCATTTCCATTTTCCAACAAAAATTCTTGTTGGGATTATCAAAATCTGGTTCTTAAATACGCTCCAATTAGATCCAGATTAAATAAATATATGAACCCGAATTAATCCGACAGGTGTGGATCTCTCACTATTAAATAGGCTAAGCCCAATAAACGTTGACAATTGATAGGGTTAGTTCATTAGTGCGTTTTTTGCAATAGGATATCCACTAACCACTTTAGCCCATCATAGTTCTGTTCCTCATAAAGTCATAAAGTTCCTCAACTCAACTGAGATTTTTCATTCCAATTTTGTGAAAAATATAATTTCAACAAGTAATATTGTTTGTTTTAGATCATTTTTCAGAAAAACTAAAAAGTATTCTTGAAGTTGTTCTTGGTGTTTGTTGGCTAGCTCGATATGTGGATATCTTAATCACTTACTTCTGTTTCTCTGTATCAATTTTATGTTTCGTTCATAGTTTCAGTCGTGATTCGTGGAGATAAATGTTAAAAGAGGTGAGTATTCATTCCAATTTCCAAATTGTGTTCGTTAAAAAAGAAAAGCCCAAGGCCCAATTGTGTTTGTTTAAAAAGAAAATGATCGAATCCAAAGTCCAAGGATCTTTGATTGAACAAGTCTTTGTAATATTTCAACATTTTTTCATTCATTTTATATACTATATAACAATGGGATCCCAAGTGTTAGATGAAACATGTCCTAGTTTTTCATTCATTTTATACTAGATGTAAAACCCGTATATTACAACGGTTGATTAAAAAAAATAAAATATTAAAATGTAAATATTAAGTATTTTTTAAAATAAAATTTTAAAATAAGAAATTAAGAAACATATTAGTTGCAATTTAGTATTTATTAGATATGATACTTTGCATATATAAGTATAAGTATAAGTATTATGTGGTTTTTTAATTTTAAAAATTAATAAAAAAAAACTATAAATTGACATGTGGATACTATTTATTTAAAAATTATCACAAAATGACAAATATCAAAACTCATTAGAGATTGACATGTGGCAAAATTATTTTTCATTTATTATAATAGAAGATAGAAGATACAACCGCATTTCTACCAATAATAATACATTGACACTTGTGATTCCACAAATATCATTTCCATGTGTTAAATCAAACATTTCCCTAAAACACTAAAAGCACCTCCAATACAAATACATAATTTTATTATAAAAAAACTAGCAAAATAATACAACTTAGACAAATTGATCATCTCCTGATGAGCACAAGACCTTGAAGACTCTATCGATATGCTGATGGAAGTTCATGTCACTGAAGATCATCCCCTGATGAACACAAGACCATGAAGACTCTATCAACACCAAAGACAAGTGTTATAAGCATGAAGACCATTCACTGAAGACTGATCAGTGTCCATATGCTGAAGTACTTACATTGATGACACACTGATCCTGTAATACACCGATACGTTGAACACTGATGATACACATTGATGGTTATATTCTGTTGAAGCTGAAGCTGAAGCTGCTTTAGCTGAAGCCAAAGCTGATCAACGATTGTCTCCTTGATGTTGACGTTGAAGTTGATCAGCATATGCTGACGCTGAAGTTGAAACTGATCTCCCTGATGCTGATGCCGATACCTAAATTTGGAGCTAATCAGATTTACTTGGTGAAGAAGCATTCTGAAGATTTGATATGATCCATTCCTTAAATACCAGATCTACTCTTATCTTAGAAAAGTCAATCTCATCAAATCAGGGATTTGGTTTTAAACGAAGATTTGGTGAATCTACATAAGTTTTATCTCCTAGGGTTTATGAAGACTATGCATTGCATTCGAAACATGGCTTGGCAACATTATATAACTTCCTCATATAATCTTTTTTTTTTTCAAAACACCATGTAGTGTTATTTCTTCTTTTTCGCTCCAAACCTTTTTAACGACGTGTGTCAGTCTTCGAATAGGGCCCACTCCATGTCATCTTCATGTTTTCGCTTCTGGTATGTTTGAAGTGGTTGTCTTTTGTTCTTGGAGATTCGTATTGTGTGTGTGGTTTACCAATTAGTTGTTTTCCACTATAAATGATAAATCGATTATAACATGTTCATGATGTGTAAGTCATTTCTTTGGCTAGCCATTACCAATATGGTTGGAAATGAAAACCGATGTTACTAAAGAACGTTCAATTTTCAATGGTCTTTTAATGTTAAAAGGTCGTCTAAACTGTGATGACCTTTAATAATTGACGATTATTTATTGTTAACCAAATCCTTACTAACCAAATAAATGGTTGCCAATGATCATGAAAATATTATAATCCTTGGGAATCCACACACCCACAATACGATACTCCCGAAACAAGAAGCAACCACTTCAAAACTGTCCCTAGTAACAATTGATCGGTGCCATTAAAAAAGTTTGGAGTGAAAAAGTCGAAATTACACTACGTGAAGTTTTGAAGAAAAGAGTGATAACTAATTTGAATGAAAATTTTCAAAGACTCATTTTCGGCTCATTATGTGACTAATTAATGTAAGTGTAACTTATTAAATACCAGTGAATTACCAAAGATGTATCAATTGAGAGACTACAAAAGTCTTAATTCATTTAAATTTGGTTCTTCCAAAAATTAGTTAAAAAAGAAAATAGTACCAAGTAGGAGACTGGCCATTTATTTAGACTAACTGTGCACTACAATAAGTTATCCTCAAGTTAGCTGTAGTGGCTGAAAATGATTTTTCATAAACAAATCATACATCTTATAACATAGTAAATGCTCTTTATTTTTTTTAAAATAAGAGTAACCATCAACTAAATAAAATGTTGAATGGAAGTACCTTAAATATTAAAAAATTACTTATCACTAATGATATAATAAATCATAGTTATTAAATGGTTGGTTTGACCAGATCAGTGGTCATTGCCAGTGGAGGTGAAGATATAACAAAAAGAAAGCCAAAAAAGATTAAATTATTTTTTTATCATCAAACATTTAATAATCAATTTTTATTTTGTCCGTACATTAGTCTTTCATATTAACTTTTTTTAAAACTGACCATTTTGCCTTTCTCTTCTCCTTTTTTTTTCTCCTTTTTCCAATAAAAACTTAAAGTTAGTCCAAAACCTTAAAAACAATTTTAAAATTAAAATAAAGTAAATAACCGAGAGAACACTTTAAGAATCAAGCTTATATGTTTTCAATCTTAAAGTATGATTTGAAGTATATTCATTTCTTCTCTGTGTTTGTTTTACAAAAAAGATTGCAGTTTTGAATTTGTTTTGAGTTTTGGTTTTGTAGAGGATGAAGAAGATGAGGACAAAATGGTCAATATCTTAAAACTAATGAATAATTTGTTAACTTAGACAACCCAAAGACTAAAAGTGTTATTATGAAACAATAAAACAGACACTAAAAAGGGAAAAAAAAAATATTCTTGTTGAATCATATCCAAAAAATTAATCAGTATTACATAGGAAACAAAAATATGTAAATTACTTTTAATAATATTAAGTCTAATTATTTAAAATAACATTTGAATTACATATGATTTTTATTTTTTAGGATTGGTCAGATGGTTATAAAAGATTTTTTTTTCCCTTTAATATCAAATTACTTTACTTAAATAAAAATTTAAAAACCACAAAAAGTCTGTTTAATATTTTAAATATTTCCACATTACTTTATTTTTTTTAATAATTTTCTTTTAAAACCCACTACTATTTAATATATATATTATATACTACAACTTTGTGGTTCAAAAGAACACTAACCATGCATACAACCTCTATAAATATCACAAACACCATGCACTTTAACCATCTTCATTCTTATCAATTGCCTATTTCTCTATATCTAACACTCATTTTTTCACACACACACACACACACACCATGGCTTTAAAAAACTTAACCCTAGTTACTTTCATCCTCATTTTAACCATAACCCTTCACATTCACTATCTTGATGCAAGAAACTTAAAACAAAACATCAGCCAACTTAATGCAATTGAAGCTCTACAGACAAAACCTATCTCAACTAACACTACAGTCGAGTCTCAGCCACCACCACCACCACCGCGAAGTGCTCAAGACTTCCGGCCAACAACACCTGGCCACAGCCCTGGGGCGGGGCATTCTATTCACAACTAGGGCAAGTGAAACTTATATATTTATGTTATATATTTGTAAACTCATTTCAGCATTTTATATCTTGTGTTAATGTAATGTCATGTAATTATAGTTTTATTTTTATCTAAAAGGATATAAATTGCAAGAAGATATAAACAAGAAAACTTACCTGATTGAAGTTTCTGTGTTGGTTGAAAGTCTGAAACTATTCCATAAAGTGTTAAAGAAACAAATACAGCATTCATGTTGTAGTACCTTAGAAACAAATACAGCTCCTTCCTGCACAATAAAATCATATACACTCAATAAACGGAGCTAATTTATGCAAAATCAAGACACATGAAACATAAATACAGAATCGATTGTTCACACAGAAATGGCGAAGTTTTGGAACAACTTCGATTCAATTTAGCATGATAAAGAACAGCGTTTCACACAATTGAGACGCTAAAATTTAACCAGAAGATGTTTTAGAGAATTGAAGTTATGATAATCAAATGTGTTCTACCTCCTCGTCGTCTACGTTCTTCTCCCGCTCTGAAACGGAAACGGAAACAAACGTATTTCGGTGAATACAAAAATCATATCGGAATTTGAGAGTTTAAGCAGAAAATCTCAATCGGAAGTGGATTGATTGTAAGAGAAATCGAATCGATTGCTTTTTTGCTTTGAAAATTGCGTAAATCAAATCCTGTTAATTTCAGAGATTAAGATAATAAAACCGAACTTCACGCATTATTTAAAAACAGAAATCGAACACAAGTTTAAGGTTTCACCTGATCAAAATTGTTCTCCATGGTGGAACAACGAAGGATGAACGATGATTATTCAATCTAACGATCTGAAGAAGAACGAAAGCGGGACGATATTATTAGAGGGACCAAAATTATCTCAATTTGACAAACTATTGTGGCCAATTTTAGTTTACTATTCCTAACTTATTTCTCATTAGTATTTAAGTTTTCTAACAATATAAAATCTGAATTACTCAATAATTTTAATACATTCATCTTCTCATTTCAACCACGTATGAAAAAAGTTATGAGAAAACATAATACTTACAAGATTAGGTATGTATATTAATGAGTTACACAGCAGTAAAGTGTAGAAAGTATTATATATATAAAAAGATATAGTATAATAAAACCATACCCCACAAAATTAAGTCACTTTCATCCAATGATTTTTCAAAAACGATATTAAAAGTTAAAAAAAAGTTTAAAACTACACTCACTGTGAACTACAGCCTAGCATAATGCATAATAGAGAATCTTATTCTGTTTGTCTCTTGTTAAACTATTAACCACTTTTCCAATGTTATAAGTGTAGTGGGAGGGTGAGGCTTCCAAAGGTTATGGAGCCAACTATGAAATTTCTTAAAAAGGAAAAAATATATATTTTTTAAATTTTAAATTCCACCATGAACACAAATGTCGGCATGAAAAGATCATCATTTTTTATGTTTTGACTTCTTTTTAGTAAACTAATCGCAAGTTGCTTTGTTAAGAGTGGTAGGGTCACATCGAGGATTGATTAGTAATTTTATAATTTAAAATGGATTATTGCTTCTTTATATCCTTGACCATGAATTTTTCCGAAAGGGCAAATATTAAAATTTGGCAATAAATCAATAATCGTGATTTATTTTAAGAAAATCAAGATCCACTAAATTGAGGTTCGGTAGTTGTAATTTGAGGTGTTGTGTATAAAGTTGTTGTTTAAGGTAGAAGTCAACTCCACTAGTCAAGATAGAAGTCAAAACATGATAAAAGTGAAAGTAAAAAGTCAATAAATTGATAGGAGAAAGATAGGTTGACATATATAAAACATAGGAGTGATTGAGACTAATCATATTTGGTCAAATTCAAAAGATATTTGGTCAAACTATGACTCTGTGTAAGCCATTCATTGAAAAGTGCATTTTGCTATTTTTTGATAGAATATTAATTAATTGATACTATATAGCAAACCTAACTTTAATTTACAAGAAAAAGAAACACTACAAGTAGTAGAAATAACTTTCAATGCCTTAAACAACTTTCAACAAAGATTTATACGCATAATACAAACTAACAAATCAATGTTTAAACATATTCATAAAATGCCTATGTTTTTCAAAGGTAATCAATGTAAAAGAACATATAATGATACATTCATGTGATAAACTAATTAATATAAAGACTACACAGACAGATGTATTTCACTTAATTTTGTCATCTTTTCTCAACCATCAACATAAAATTATAATTTATAAAATTGACTCAGTGGAAAGGACTAAGAATCTATTTGGTGGTGGTGATAATTGATAAAGCTACTTCCTTTGATATTATAACTTACAAAATCTAAGCATCAGTCACATCTAACATTCTAAAATAAATGATTTTGCATAATCAATTCATCATCACCCAAAAATAGTGCAAATTCTATGGCTAGTAAGCATTCAAGGAGTCAAAGACCACTAATGGCTTCACTTCACTAAAAGATTTGCATAAAAAATGAAATTAATCAAAGGACCTAAAATTTCTATATCAAGAATAAGTGTGGAATATTGGTTATCATTTCCCTAAGAACTTGAATACCTGATACTATAAATACCAGAAGAGTAGAATAACATTCCATATTGCTTCCACAACCCTTCCTCATTTTCACAATCTGTTTTAACTTTTAAAGCTTGTATTTGTCTAGTTAGTTAGTCATGGTTCATTTCCAGATATACCCTTGTGTTTTTTTCCTTCTCTTAATCACTTTCCATGGATTAATCCCATTGTTTGATGGAAGGAAATTAAAAGATGTTACTGCCTTTAGGCCTACAACACCAGGGAATAGTCCAGGAGCAGGGCATTCTTTCACTGAAAACAGACCATATTTAAGATCAAAAGAAGTAGAAAGTAATGTTTCAGGTATTCATCATCCTACTTCAGAATCTGCAACTGGTTTTAGGCCTACAAAACCAGGAAACAGCCCTGGTGCTGGTCATTCTATACACAATCAAACTGCTATGCCATAAGCGTATAATGCCAAAAGTATAGATAGATGTAAGGTAAAATGAAATTGATTGTTGTTATATCTATTGTGCATTGTGAATGTCTCTTGCAGTTGCAGAGATCAGTTGTTATTTCAAATTTTCAATCACTGTAACTTCGATATTGGTATTTAATAAATGTTAGAATGTACATATCTCCTTCAATTTGTGTAGACGTATGATTATTAAACGCAAAAAAAGCAAGAAAAGATGGAAGATGTAATATATGATATGTCGAATAAATAATGTATGATATGTCGAATCAAAGCAAGTGATTGATTAACTTATTCATTGATACATGCAAAGGAATTACTGTATCAATTTTGGATGAGAAAAGTTACAGCTTTCAACAACACATACTTACATTATTTTAATCATCTGTAACGAGTGCGCTCTTTTCCGTAAGTTTCTAGTTTCCAATTGCTAAGCTTTTTACGAACCCTAAAAGTAAACCAGCGCAATGGTAGACGCTAATTGTTAACGAAAACAAACTGATGTTAACAGCATCAAGTTGATAGATCGCTATTCGCTATATAAACAATTTAAGTACAAATTTCTGATTTCTGATACGTGTAAGCAAAACTAAATAGCTGATCGCGAAAAAAACCCTAACCTGCAAAGTTGTGGAACTTCTGATTGAATGTCTCCGTTTATGGGGCTTATGGATTTCATCACCACATTTGGAGAACATTAGCATATCGATGAAGCTTGAATTTGAATTTATTAGAACATTCGTCACATTTGGGTTAGCTGTTTTAAGTGATTTTTAAGAAAGTTTTTAAAAGTTGTTTTTTAGAAGTAAAATGGCTAAAAAGATAAAAAAAAAAAAAAAAAAAACTAAGATTTTTTAACTATTTAAAAGTTTTATTTTTTTTATTCAAAAAACTATTTTAAAAAACATTTTGAAAAGTTAATAAGCTATTTTAAAAAATTATCCCAAACACCCACTTAATAGGTATAAACTATAAAGGTTGATGTACAAATCAAAAATGCATAGAACATAAAAAAGGATAGGATGCGTTAACTATGGATATAATTTGTTACTTAAATTTTTAAGTTTTAAATAACACAAGTATTAAAACTCTAGGTACAAGCTTTCTATGCAATAAAAAACTAATATTTAAAAAAAAGATTGAACTGCACAAATGGTCCTGTGGTATGTTGAAAATTGTCACTTTGGTCCAAAAAGGTTTGGACTAGCACCAGTGGTCCAAAACTTTCATTTTGTTGTGTCTTTGGTCCAATATGTTCTGATTATTTTCAAAATGACGGATCTGCACCTGTTAATATGATTTCTCTTTTTTCTTTTTTGTTTTTCTGATTTAAAAAAACAAGAAAATAAAAATAAATTTCTCTCTTTAAAACAAGAAAATAAAAATAAAAATCTCTCTCTCTCTCTCTCTCTCTCTCTCT